TATATTAGGAAGAGTTTTCTTTCCCCTCCTTTTTTCCAGATCTATAGTCGATTACCTTTGACATTGGAGAGGGACATAATACCTCTATTTCCTGATTAACCACTCTGTGAAACACATCAAATAAATTATGCCACTACGAATATCACTGTTATGTACAAATATGAACCATCATGCTATTTGACATTGTGATTGATGTTGTTTTGAAGGAATCATAAAGCTAGAATAATAAAAGATAGAGTTTTGATGTAGTTTTATAGGTGACAAATGGAGGTAGTGTTCACTTATAACTGTAAAATTCACGATTGTGTTTATGTGTCAATGTCAATTTGGCTTATCAATGTCAAATTTGCTTTGTCAATAGGCTTGTATGAAGATATGAATAAAATGTAATGTTTTTATGGAACGTGTAATGTTTTTAAGTGTTGGTGCCTAAAACCCCCCACTTATGGACAGCATGGTATCAATTCAAAATTAGGGGTGTGTCAAACAGAGATGTTGCAACTTGGTTCAATTGCTTATCTTAGATAACAGACATAAATAACATTGGTAAAACCTGGTCTGGTAGGTCTATTTGCATTGTATGTGGCATTCCTCTCAACTGACTATTTCCCTCTTAGGACTGACCTGTGGTTTTCATAATCTTCTAGGACACTGGCATAAAAGGTTCTTAGGGCTCTTCTACATAGCTACCTTTAGTCGTATAATGTAAATTGTGGCATATTCTCTCTGGCAGGGAGTCACAGGCGCAACATACAGCGTCCCATAGGCATCAATTGCTGTACAGGATATACGTGGGACGTGTGTAAACACGTCCATCCATATGGGCGCACAACCCCAAATGCAGGCATGGGAGGGACTAGGGGAGTCTGTACACACCACCTGTTGCTCCGTGGTGGCAGAAATACGCCAGAATTTACATTGTATGACCACAAACGGCTGTGTATAACAGCTCTTAATCAAAAGGTTGACTGGGTGCAACATCTGAAATTAAGTGGGATGCACTGCCTGCAAACACACATGGTAATGTACCCCAAGTAGAAATCTGAAGCTAATAAGGCATCCTAATCATTCTACAACTTACAATGCCTCAGAAGCAGCCTTCAAAGGATAATTTACACTGTTCTCCAAAGTGAACATCCACTAAATGCTGGATTTTTCATAAACATGTGAACATGGCTATAGGAAGCTATGTGCATTAAAGTTTATTATTTATACTTAATATATGTGAACCATATTAAAAGCACATTAGTGTATAAAGGTCCTTAGGCACTAAGCCATTAACCATCTCTAAACATTCCCAGTCGAGTATTGCCAAGTTTAACAGATGGCACTTAATGTTGCTTATATGTGTAAACATGTGAAACGCAACTCTTTATACTAAGCAGTTCACATTTTGTTATTTTCCTAACATAATGTTCTATTATCTGTTCGGTTGCTTGGTGGCTTTGACTTTGCCACCTTAGTGCAGTTTAATATGTACTGATTTATCTTTTAACTTAAACATGATCACCTTCACAGCAGTAAGATTGTGGGGTTTTTTCAACATTCCATCTGAAAGAAAATGCCATTCCTTCTGCCTTGAATTAACATCTTGCATGTTTAGTAGCACGGTATGGGTTAAATAATACTGTCCAGGGGCTTTTACAGGCATGTTCTGTGATTGGGGAGAACAGCAGGAGAGCAATCAGATTTTTGCAAGCACAATGGCATCCATCGACTCTTCCCATCTAACTGTAGACATGCTAATTAATATATTTCTCTATCACCAGGTTGTTTGAAATAGTAATTAAAAGAGTAATTGAAATGTTTACTTGTTGTAGGAGTGTCAACCAAGACTTGGAATATAGCAATTACCCAGGATGGATTAGAAGAAGACGATGAGACCTTTGAAGTCATTCTGAATTCTCCTGTGAATGCTGTTCTTGGCACTAAGACAAGAGCTGTAGTGAAAATTGTGGACCCCAGAGGAGGTATTCTTTTTTGATCTCCATCTTAAAATCTGGAACAGTCTTGGCAGAAAATCTACTCCCATTCAGTAACAAAATGTCGCCAATAATGATAGCTTTCATAACAAAAAAGGTGTTCTTTTTTTAAGTTCTACTACTGTTATTTAGGAGATATGTATAGAGACGATAATTTTAGGATAACCTATAGCTGTAACTATTGAAATCATTGAATTATAATACATGATTTGCAGCAATTAACCTGTTAAAGCACATAATACCTGAGGCATTTTATTTAGTCTGCTTTCTTGATTATTGCATTTTTTCTCACGAAAAGAAATGCATTGGGATTTTTGCTTCATTAATGTTGTATGTTTTTGTGTATTATGTTTAACTCTATACAGTTTAAGTCTTGTCTTTCCTTCTAATAATCCTGCTTCACAGACATCTTGTATATATCATAAAATGTATGACAAACACAATTAAACAAGTAACAAGTGAAATCACCTTTTTTAAATGGTATCAACAACTAAAAATTCCCTTTTTACACGGTATCAACATTAGTGTGGACCCTACTATACCTTATAAAGGAAAATTGTCTAAACAAAAACGCGCTATATAATTTCTAATTGAAAAGTTCACCTGAGCTCTAGATATAGATTTTGACAAATGTGCTTCTTTTTTCTGAATTTCAAGGCCTGGCACACAGAGTAATGTGTTGTTAATGTGCCCCTTCCTTTAACACCATTGGGAATCTCTGGGAATCAATGCCTTCCTTTATTATTGCAACAGTGCAAGAAGCATAGGAATGAAAGCTTCTATGTAGGTGTATGGAATGTATTTGTTCTTGATTCAGACCTGCTCAGCTATGAAAAGCTAAGGAGAAGCAATGGGCAAATGCAGGTTCTCTTTTTTTTATAAATGTATCCATATTTTGTTTTTATTCTAAAAATGCATTGGGGTTATATTATGCGGTCAGTTTCAAGCCTATGTAAAGGCAAAAACACCTCTGCGACACTGCACATTTCCCATTGTTTTATTCATATATACGCACTGCAAGTACAGAAAAATAATGGTTGACGTGCCAGAAATATAGTATGCTCCCAACTTCCTCTTTGACATGACAACGTAGCTTTGAATTCCTAAGGAAGGATTGTCAGCCCTGCCTACTCATTGCTGATGGATTTCCGATGAGTTACAGACCTTTTCTTATCTGTTGCCCCCACCTCACCTCCATAACTCATATGGTGCGCTCACGTATCTCATTGTGCACAGGCAGAGAGCAAAGGAAGTCCTCATCTTACAAGATCTCTGCCAAAATCAACAGGTATTTTTTCACGTATTGAACAGAAATAACAAACTGTATTCATAATTAGCACAAAAAAAGTAGTTCATTGTTAAGGTTTGTGTACACTTTAAATTTGAACTATGCTCTGCTTAGTATCTGCTTTATTTACACTAGGTAGTTGTCAAAGGAATGCTCGAGAAGGACTACGAAACTGCACCTCCCAACCAGCACAGAGCGCTTGCAGCATTGATCTGGCAGAAGTTCTACTTCCTAATATTAAAAAGACAGATGGGGACATTAGAGGAGATGTATCTGAAGAAGTCAGCCTTGTACAAACTGGAAAGAAGAGACTCCGGGTCTTTGGAAATGGGAAATCTGTAAGAATTATACATAAGTAAAAATCTAAAGAAAGAAAGAAATTATAATTTAATACGTTACACACACACACACACACACACACACACACACACACACACACACACTGAACTTGATGGACCTGTGTTATTTTTCAACCTTTAATACTATGTAACTATAAGAAAACATAGCTGTTACATTAGAGTTGGCAAAAAATGATAAACTTTTGGATGACACATACGATCATTTTACTACTTTTGCTTATATCCAGAAAACATATTAACTTTGGTATTGTTCACGATAGCATTATTGGGCTGTTGTGGTTGCACTACCCAAAGTAGTCCCAATGCATGAACAAATCAATCTGCAATGTGTCCTATGTTTTGAATTTACACTATCCCACTGCATTTGTGTGCTCTGGTGAAAAAAAAGGACGTTGCATTTTTGTGAAGCACACTAAAAGGCTTTAAAAGAATTCTAAAGCCACAACATATAATATCCTGTTATCATTGTAATAGAAATACATACTAGAGATGTTTTTGATAATGCAATCAAAACTTACTTGAAGAAATGTCTTTTATGTAGTGAGTGTTACCTTCTGTTTGCCCATTTTATTCAACAACTTCCTGTATTCCTAGTGTGCTGTGCTTCTCTTTGCTTGACATGATGCAATCTTGATTTGTCAAGACTACATAGCCCATAACGCATTGCTTCCAGCAAGCAATGATGATGTTACATTGTTCAGACATTTGCGTGTGTGTAATGTCCATACTAATGTATGTGTTATGGTGTAAATGAGCCCTTAGTTTCTGTAGGCTGCAGGGACATTTTCTATATTTCCTATTTTGTTGCAGGAGGTGCTAAACTCAGAAGCACAGTGAATGCACATGTTTCCTGCCTGAAATATATGCTAATATCCTTATGTATGTAAAGGCTGTGTTACTTTTAATATGTCCCTGTACATGGCTGTCCCTGTGTCCACCCTATGTCCCTGTACATGGCTGTGCCTGTGCCCACCCTATGTCCCTGTACCTGGCTGTCCATTTGTCCGCCCTATGTCCCCGTGCATGGCTGTCCCTGTTTATGTCCTATGTCCCTGTACATGGCTGTCCCTGTGTGCACCCTATGACCCTGTACATGGCTGTCCCTGTGTCTGCCCTATGTCCCTATACATGGCTGTCCATGTGTCCACCATATGTCCCTGTACATGGCTGCCACTGTGTTCCTATACATGGCTCTAGGTCCCTGCACATGGCTGTGTATGGATGAACAACCATTCAATTCAACCATTTTTTCAAGCTTACTCTTGGGTCTCTGATAATCAGCCAGCTAAGTAAGGAACATATTTGTATACAAACCCCTATATGCACTGTATATATAGTGTGTGTGTATGTGTATATGGCTGCCACTGTGTTCCTATACATGGCTCTAGGTCCCTGCACATGGCTGTGTATGGATGAACAACCATTCAATTCAACCATTTTTTCAAGCTTACTCTTGGGTCTCTGATAATCAGCCAGCTAAGTAAGGAACATATTTGTATACAAACCCCTATATGCACAGTATATATAGTGTGTGTGTATGTGTAT